CCTGTGAGGGTGCTGAGGCCCTGGCACAGATTACCCAGAAGAGCTATGGCTGCTCCATCCCTGGCAGTGTTCAAGGCCAGCTTGGACGGGGCTTGGAGCAACCTGGTCTAATGGAAGGTGTCCCTGCCCGTGGCAGGGGGCTGGAACTGGATGAGCATTGAGGTCCCTTCCAACCTCCACCAGTCCAGCATTCTATGATGCTCCTCCTGCTCTTTTCTCCCTCTCCCCTTCCTGTCCTAATTTTATCTGTGCTTCCTCTGCAAATTCCTGAAGAATCCCAGCTGCTGGGCTGGGCTGGGGATGCTGCTTTTCAGAGCAGGAGGGTTTCAAGCGGCTGGGAACAGGCATCACGGGCAGGCAGGTTGAGCTGGGGCATCTCCCAGGTGGCCCAGAGCAGGGAGGAAGGGTGGTGGAAACCCTTAGGAAGGAGAAAGAAAGGGTGCGGAGGAAGAGGAGGGTGGGGAGGAAGGATGGGGGGGCTTTGCCCTCCTTGCAGCTGCAGGAGAGATTGCAAGCCCCACAGTCAGGGTTGCAGAGCCCCTTGGAGTTTTACTGCCCCAGCCCAGCTCGTTCCCCAGCTTTGGCTCTGTGCCAGCTGCTGGAAGTGGGATGAGACACAATCCTCTCCCTGCTGGGGCCCCGTTTCTGCCCAGAGCTAATAAGGTGAATCACTGGTGCTTAATGAAGAAGCACCTGCTTAGTTGAGCACAGCGGGTGGTGCACAGTGTGGCTGGGTGACAGGATGGGGCCAGCAGTGCTCTCCACCCAGGGCTCCCTGCAGGTCCCAGCAGAGGGTATTGTGTCACTATCTGTAGCAGGGCTGTATTTCATCCTCATTTTCATGGAAAACCAGACTTTCTCCCTCTTAGAGCAAGCATTGGGCTGTCCTGACCCCCTTATACGCCATTCCTGCAGGGTGGCACAGGGCAGGGGACAGAGCTGAAGCAGTTAAAAGGGTGAGCAGGAGATATGGGAGCTCTGACAGCTCTCTGAATGATGATGTTTAGATTAGTTGGGTTTCCAGGCATCGAGCTGTCAAAGCAAGAGGGCTGGAGGGATGTTGGGGCTTGCCCTTAATTGGAGATGTAGTTCTGAATCTGTCCCATCACTCTGGCATGCCCTGGGTTCCAGCAGCCCACCCCACACTAAATCCATGCCACGGAGCTTTCAGCTTGTCCCCATCCTAACCCCCTCCCAGTAATTAGTGTGGTGGGATTTCATTGTCACTGACATCTCTGCAATGGCTGCTGGATCAGTGGGGTTCTAGTGCTTAATGGGGCACAGCTCCACACAGGAGGGACCACAGGGTGGCACAGCTTCTGATGACCTTCATGGCTCTTCCTTTGGCCAGCATCATCTTGCTGAGGGGTCCTTTAGGCTAGGGGGCATACAGGGTCCTGTCCCCACATCGGGGTCTGGATGTGACCTCTGGGTCCCTTGGGAGCCCCACTGCAGCAGTGGGCAGGGGATGTCCCCTTTCTCCTCATTGCAGCCTCCTATCTGTCTGCAGCTGCATTCTGTGGCTCCATTGGAAAGGCTTGAATAACCCTTTTAATTTAAGGAGTTAAATTTTAATGGCCTAAATACCACATTTCATTATCACCACCATGTGCCTGTGCCAAGGCCTGCCTAAGATCTCGGTGCTGCACTGCGCTGATGCTCTGCGGCTGCTGCTTCCTCAGGGATGCTTCTTCCCCTCCTTTACCACACTAGGAGGTCCTTGAGGATTCACTGATTCCCATGAGCAAGGGGATGGGCAAGGGAATGCTCATGTCACCCACAGGGATACAGGGAGAACCCTAGGGAGCAGCATCTCACTGGGATGATGCTTCAGAGGGGATTAGCTGTCTCCTTCCATCATGTCACAGCACAGGCAGGTGGGAGGATGGATGGATGGATGGAGAGATGGACAGATGGAGGGAGGGAGGAATGGAGGGATGGAGGGGCAGGCCACAGCCAGCCTTGTTGTTAACTAGGGGACTGAGTCTTACAGCTATCATGTATGTAGTTGATTTATGGAGTGTGTATGTATGTCTGGAGTATAGATGTAAGAGGTCCTGTCCCCTTCTGCAGACATCCTTGAGCATCCTGGCTGCTGCCTGGTTGGTTTGAAGCCACCTGTCCCTGCCTCCTCCCAGCCAGCCTTGCGTTCCTCTCGTGCCTTTGAAGCCTCCCAGGGGATTGGCTCTGGGGGACCCCTGCTCGGTCCCACCAGCAGTTGGGCTCAGCTGCTGGCTGCGGTCACAGGGGCTGAACAGCTGCATAACCAACCAGTTGTCCCCTCCTTTGAGGACTGCATTTGGGATGTGCCGAATAAGGGGCTTCATGGAGGGGGGAGTTTGGAGTCTCTGCCTGCATAAGGGGAAGCTGCTGCGCTCTGGCAAACTCATTTGACTGGTGGCTCCTGCAGAGCCTGGGGAATCTGGGAGGAAAAATTATGCCCATGGGGGTCAGCATCCCTGGGGGTGACACAGCTTCGAAGCAGGGGGACAGACTCTGCACAGCTGCTCCTTTAATATCCTGACAGTTTCCAGTTTCCCAGTGCCAGTGAAAGGAGGGGGAGCAATCCCAGCCCTTCCCTGCTAATCAAAACCAGGCCTGAAATTGGAAAGCAGCTCACATTTGGCCCCCTGCTCAGTGTTAGCCAGCCAAATGTCAGAGCTCCTATTTATGGAAAGCAAAAGCCCTCCTTTTCCATGGAGATGCAGAGGAGGGGGAACCTGACTGGTGTCCTTGCCATAGGAAGACGAGGGCAGCTTTGGGGATCTCTGAATTGCCCTTAATGCTCCCCAGAACCATTTTTGGTTTGGCTGAGCTTGGTTTTTCTCTTTTCTTTGCCTTCCTGCCTGGAAGGTGTAAAACACCACAAGCAGAAGAGCTGTGTGGCACACCCAGCACTGTGCAATTGGAGTAAAATTGTCCCAGTGTTTATCCCTGGAGGACCCATCCTCTCTTTGGGCACAGTAAATCATCATGGTTCAATTGCCCAGCATGGCTGCTGGAGAAAGCTCAGCAAGGATGAGGCATCCAGCTATCCTCTCTTACTGGAGAAGGGTGGGATGGAGCCAGCTCACTCTTAGGCTGGGCTTCGACCTGCCCAGGCTGGGCTTGCTTTGCTGCAGCTGGCACTGGCTAGATCGTGCCTGCAATGCTGAGCTATTGATTTGCCTTTGGCTCCATCAGGCTGGACTAAATGCCTCTGCCTTCCCCATCCCTCCCTCGATGCTTCCCTTTCCCATCACTGTCCCTCCTCCAGCCAGCCCTGTGTCCAAGCAGTGAGAAATTGGGGAAGCGTTTTCATCCCCATGAATGCAGCTGGTTACGTAAGAATAATTGGGATAAATGAGCTTATTTATCACAGCCCCATTCCATTTTAGCAGGGTCTGGGGTGGTTGCTGGGCTGGGTTATGTAAAAGCCAGCACAGAGCATCTCATTGTCCAGTGGCAGCCATGCGGGATGCAGGAGCTGCTGATGGAGAGGAGCCGGGGTTGGGTGAAGAGGGGACGGGTTGCTTGGCTGGATGAGATGAGAGGAAGTCGGGGCAGAGGGGGGTTCTTTCCTTCCTTTTGAGGAAGGAAAATCTGTTTCTTCATTCCCCATCCACCTCCTGCATCCCTAAAATGCCAGGCTTTAGGGTCTTTGGTGTCTGAACTGTAGCCATGTGGTCTTCCACTAGTCCTTCTCCACTGGGTCAGGTGCTGGAAACTCACCTTCTTCCTCCTCCTCACCCGAAGAGTGTGATCTCGGGGCAGGGGGGGTAGGTCAGGTGTGTGTCCCACCTCCTGGCCAAACCAAGCAGCTATCCAACACCTCCCACCCAGCCTCCAAAGTGGTTGCTTCTTGTATTGCCTCCTAAACTCTTCTGAGATGCTTCCAGAGGAGATTTGTTTGCCAGCTGAGATTATCTGGTGGGAACAGTGCTTGACAGGAGTTGGGGGAAAGCAAAGGAGGTCCGGGGGATGCCAGCATCTCCCCCAGTGCTAGAGTTCCCTGTCAGCCTATCAGGAAGATGTGGGGACCCAGGGAGCATCCCAGTTTCAGGAGAAGCTGGGAAGCAGAGTGGGCTCCTCCAGGTCTCCCTGATGCAGGGACTGGAGAGCTGAGCCAGCACTGGACAGCATTTCAGGTGTCTTTGGACAAACTGCCCAAGAAGGCAGGAGTCTGGAGAAAAACAGGAAATCCCAAAACCCAAACAAACATGGAAGAAAAAAATCTGGTTTTTGGTTTCTGGTCTAAAATGTTGAAAACCTTGGGAATGCCTTAGGGTTCACTAAGCAGGACATTCCTGCCGTGACCTACCAGGCCTGGCCGGGCAGATCAACATGGGCTGTGGCACCAGCTATGCTGTGTTTTGGGGAGAGCGGAGCAGGGGCATCTTCCATCTCCGGAGCCCCTCAGCAGCGGATCTCTGGGGAGCCAGAGCATGGAGGAGTTCAAAGGGCAATGGGGCACATTACTGGGAGAAAAGGGGATGCAGAGGGAAAGACAAGCTCTGGCTCCAGGACTCCTGGGTTGCATGTGTCCGGGAGAGATTGCTTTGTCCTAGTGGTCTCCCTCACTCTCTACCATTTTCCTGGTGTCAGGTGGATACTGGTGTGACTGGGCCAACACATGCCATCTATAACCACGCTCCCTGCAGTTATCTGGGTAGAAAGTGATGTTGAAACCTGTCATGAAGGTCACTGGGAGGTTGAGGTGGCAACAAGCCACGGTGGTGGGTGGGTGCCAGAGGGGTCCCCACGCAGCCTGACCAGGGGTGTGTCTTAGCCCGGCTATTGGTTTTTGGCCTTTTCCTGGTGTGAAGGTCTACACCCACCAAATGCAGAGCCTGGTATTGCCCCACAACATCACCCTTCTGGTGCTTTTGTATTCACCTAACCTGTGTATCTCACCCCTGTTCCTTTCTGGAGGAAGGGATGATGTGCAGGCTCAGGTCAGGGTCTCTGCTGTGCTCATTAACCATCCTTCCCTCTTGGTTACTCTCCTCTGTGATACACAGGCAACTCTGTCTACTTCTGAATGCAGAAAACATCTTCCACTCCATGGCAGACATACTCCTTCGAGAAGAAGACCTCAAGTTCGCTTCTACCATGGTCCACACCCTGAACACTATCCTGCTGACGTCCTCTGAGCTCTTCCAGCTGAGGAACCAACTGAAGGAATTGAAGACCCCAGTATGGGCAGCAGGAGCAGGCTCAGCTGCTGGGCAGGACACAGTGGGGGTGACAGGCACCTGGGGACATATCTCTCAGGTCCCAGGGCAGCTCCTTCATTCTTCCACCTTTCAGGAGCTGACTGGGGCTTGGAGGACGTGCCCAATTTTTGCTTTCTCCCCTGGGATGAAAATGTGCTCCCCAAGCCCTCGAGCAGCTGCCACCTCCCTCCCTCCATCCCAGCACAGGACAGGGGACAGGGGACAGAGGGAGCAGGGCTCTGGTTCCTCAGCTGTCCCTGATGGGAACATGCCCGCAGGATTTACCGAGCAGCTGCCACCAGCACCAGCCACATCCAAGCAAGGCAGGAGACAGAGGCATACTTGTATTCCTCATGCTGAAGGCCAGTGATGCAGTGGTGTCCCCTTGGGTGGGACAGCCACCATCCTCCAGCCCCTCATCCTGTGATGCCATCCCCCAAACATGCCTGGTCTCCACCTCCTGAGGCTGGTGGGCCCATGACAGTACCGGGTGGACTTAGTGGGGCCAGAAATGTCCCCTTATGCCTCGGTGGCACTTGCCATGCAGTGGGTTGTCAGGGTCCTGGGGCTCTCTATGCCACATCCTTGCTGGTGACCCAAGCCTGATGACTCCCTCTTTTTCTAGGAAAGCTGTAACCTCTTCTGCTGCCTCTACCGGTCCTGGTGTCACAACCCCGTGACAACTGTGTCCCTCTGCTTCCTCACCCAGAACTACAAGCATGCCTACGACCTCATCCAGAAATTGTATCCTTTGGAGGTTTTCTGTGAGGCCAGTAGCTGGGCTGGCCCTTTGGTCCCTCTGTGGCCACCAAGGTCACCCTGCAGGCCAACCCCGCCTCCTGCCCACAGCCCATCATTACCAGGGTGGTGTCCCCACCATGCGAGGGCAGAGCAGCCTGTGCTGGGCATACTCCAGCTCCCTTGCCTTTGTGTTGTCCTTCTTTTGTGTGGTGTAAAAGGAGGAAAGCATGTGCTGGCTGAGCCTTGACCTTCCCCTGCCCATGAGGGGAGGCTCCTCAGCATCCTCTTCCTTCCAGGTAGATGAAGGTTTTTCTCTCCTGGCCCGAGGAGGAGCCAGCAGCACCCAGCATGGTGCGGTTCATGGTGAGCTCACCGTCTGCCTACAGCAGAATGATTGTTTTCACATGCCAGCAATCCCAAACCTCCCTGGGTAAGCTTTCCATGCCACAAAGCTTAATAACACACTCAGGTTCCCTTCTTGAGGTGTTTCTGCTGCAGGCCAGGAGGTAAAAGCAGGCATCCTCTTTTGCACCATCTTCTTGCCTGCTCTCTGGCTAGGCAAGCTGCCAGGATTTGGGGATTTGGGGCAGTCTGCCATTTCCCCCATCCCCTACTGCTCCTCCTGTTTCCTGCCACCATGCCTTAGCCACCCTGCAGACAGTTCAGCCATGCCTGCATGCAAGCCCTGTTCTGCAGGAGCTGTGGATGCAGGAAGCATTTGGCATCACCCAGGAGAGCCATCTGCTGTCACCAGGCCACCTTTTACCAAGGTAACATCCTTAACAGCCCCATCCAGTGGGGATCTGGATGTCACTGTGGATTTCCTCACCGAGGTGGACAAGCTGGTGCAGCTCATCGAGTGCCCCATATTCACATGTAAGGAGGAAAAACGGTATGGGAAGGGGTGGTGTGTGGTGCTCCCCCACCCAGGCACATCCCCCCTCCCTGCTCCTCTATCGCAAGTGGCAGCACAAATAAATAGAGCAGAAGTTATGCGACTTCTTGCCGGGAGCTTTGCCCAGAGCTGGAGCTGCCCACGAGAGACAAGGCGGGGGGGAACTTTGCCCCCCAGATAAAGGTTATGGGAGCGAGTGGTGTTGGCACCAAAGGGGTGAGGGAAGGATGGGGAGAGCCTGGATCATGCTGAGCATCTCCAGGGGGGTGTGGGTAGGATGTCAGGTGAGGGGAGCCATGTGTGCCACCCTTGGTGGCATTGTGTGCAAGAAAAAAAGTGGTTTTTTTCTGGAAATGGAGAATTAAAGCATAAAACACAAAGCTGTTTCTCTCTCCAACTCTGCTCTCCCAGCAGTGTGGGTAATGCAGCCAGGGGCTTGGGGATGTAGTGCTGGGAGCCAGGATGGTGGCAGGGGGACCTGTGGCCACAGGGGATTTCCTGTGATAGTATTTGGCTGCTCCTGGGCTCCTCTTCCCTGAGGGGGGAGCTGAGAACTGAGTGTGCTGGGAAATCTCCTGGAAATGGATTTTTTTGGAGGGAGACCTATATAGATTCAGGGCTGGAGAATATTTGGGGGAAGAGGGTTAAAAGCAGCCAGGCAATAGAGACATGGGCTGACCCTTGGTCAGGTTCTTTTCAGTGGTACTGTGTGTTCATCCTGAAGATGAATTTCGTACCATGTAAGGCACATAAATATCTGTGGTGGCTTTCCATGGCCCCAGATTATTCCTTGAGGGTTACACATACACCTTGGCCTCCAAATCTCAGGCTAGGTAACAAACCTGAGCCATATAGAGCAGCATCCCTGGGCATGGCTTCCTTTGCTGGGAGCCACCACAGATGCTAGTGTCAAGCCAGAGGTGAGATGCTGGGGCAGAGATCTCTCACCCCATCCCTTGGGCTGCCCCAGGTGGGACCTTGGCTGTCTGGAGGGCTCCAGAAGACCCTTCCACCCATAAGCACCGGGAGGGATAGAGCAGGAGGGTGGTTTCCCCCTGCTGAGCAACACCAAGGCCCAACACAGGTAACTATCAGGGTTGAGTGGAGAGGATCCCTTCTGCTCCAGAAAGTCTCTGGGAAGGTGTCACCTAGCCCTCCTGACATGTGATGCTCCAGGGCGGTATTTCTGCTCATTCTGCAGAAGCTGAGGAGCAATATCATGTTGCACATGTGTGTGTCCTCAGGCAGGCAGCAGGGGTGGCCTCAAGCATGGGCAGTAGCAGGGATGGGAGACTAGGGAGCTGCTGTCCCCTTCCCCAGCTGGCACCTGGGGGCTGTGGTGAGGAGAGGGGCTTCTGGCCTGTGTGGGACATGAAGATAGTTAATGGAAGGGGAGATGCTGCTGGTGCCATGCGGGTGCCCTTTGTGTCAGCTGGCAGAGGCTTACAGCCTCCCCAGGACCATCAGAGAGTCTGGAAGGAACCGGCTATTGGGGCTGGAGGCAAAAGGCATTTTACCTGCCTCCCCATCCTCTTTCTCTCTTCTTCCAGACCTCCGCCTGCAGATGCTGGACGTGAAGAAGAACCCCTACCTGATCAAGGCTCTCTATGGCTTGCTGATGCTGCTGCCCCAGAGCAGCGCCTTCCAGCTCCTCTCCCACCGCCTGCAGTGCGTGCCCAACCCCGAGCTCTTGCAGATGTAAGTGCCATGGGGACAGACCCCAGCATCAGAACCACAGCCAGACCAGCTCTGTGTGTCTCCCCCTCCAGCAGCTGAGCATCGCTGTGATCCCAGGCTCCAGCTTTCGCCCCCTGGCTCCTTTGTGGCCACGGCTGCTCCATGCCCCGTGGCCAGAAGTGTTGGCTCGGGGGGGGGGTGGTGGTGGTGGTGGTTTGTGTCTATATTTGGTAACCCTGGGAGGACTGTGCCTCATCCACAGGCATTTGGCATCCGGGATGGAAAATTTCACTTGTGGGGTCGCTATGGAAACAAGCAGAGCCAGGGAGGAGGTTTATGGAGAGAGACTCTGGCCACACAGGGTGCTCCCAAAGCATCTCCCCCACAGCCCAGACAGCATTTGCAGCACCCAAAAGAGAGACACCTTTTGGTCTCCATCCCCATCCCTGGCCTTTGGGGAGCCACCAGCAGCGATGTTCAAAGACAGCATCTCCCAGGAAACCAGCCGAAATCCTCATGCTCTGTGCCCAGGGGTGTTGCTGTCCAGTTCGTTGGACACCAGTGGTGGGATTTGCTCTCCATCCCTTAGATAATAAGCCAGAGGGTGTTCACATTAAAGCCTTTGCAAAGCCATGGGAACAAAAAGAAGAGCTCCCAAGGTGGGCAGGTTCCTGAATTAACCCCCCACTACCACCACTCCTTGGCTTTTAACTGCTTCCCTGTGCTGCCTTTTATCTCTCATGGCCTCCAGCACTGAGCTCATACTCACCACACAGCACTGTTTTTAACTGGAAGGGTGGAGAGGGAGCTTCGTGTGCTTCTCCCCCTACTTTTCTCTGCTCCAGCCCTTGTCAGTGGGGGTTTTTGAGCAACCAGAGCTGTCAGACAGCCTGAGCATCTGATTAACTCTGACCTACATTCCTTCAAACACCGAAGCCGGCTTTCATAACAGGCCAGCCCCAGCTGCCCCCTCCCCCAGGGGGACACCGGGGCCTCAAGAGCTGCCTGTCATTCTCTCATTGGTTCCTCTGTGTCCCCTGATGGGCATCCCATGGCTGGTCCCCCCCTTATCCATTGTGTTGTGGACAGTTTTTGGGGATGACCATCCACAGATCGAGCCCTGGGGAGCCAGCCCAGGCTCCCCAGGGCTCCAGCCATGGGTGCTTATTCCCAGAGGCTGTCCCTGCTGCCATGGGCCCTTCTCTGTTCCATAACACACGGATATTATTTGCTTGCTTCTAAAACCAGGCAGGGGAACTGAGGCCTGTGGCTCTGGTATCCTTTCCGACCAGTCTTGCTGCTTGCAGATGGAATGGGTTAGGACAGCATCTGTGTTGGAGGGGTTAAACATCCCCTGAGGGTCCTTTGTCTCCTCTCTCCTGTCCCAGGACCTGTTGGGCTCCATCTCATAGAATCATAGAATAGTTAGGGTTGGAAAGGACCTTAAGATCATCTAGTTCCAACCCCCCTGCCATGAGCAGGGACACCACACACTAAACTATGTCACTCATGCATTTAGGGAAGGGAAATAGGTCTTTTGGAGTGTTTCACAGGGCACCAGCATCGCTAGACTGTGCTGCGCTCAGCTATTTCAGGACAAGCCCTTAGTGCTGCCTGGATGCAGGAACCTCCTGCCCCATCTCATCCTCACACTTCTTCCTCCCCACAGGGACAGCACCAAAGCAACCACTGGCCTCAGGGGGACAACAGTGTCCAACATCGACTACACAGAGCTGCTGCAACACTTTGAGAAGGTCCAAAACAAGCACCTAGAAGCACGACACCAGCGAGCCGGGCGGGCAGAGCAGTTGGATTTTCCCCCCCTGCCATAGCCGCAGGGGTGCTCAGAGAGATTGAGGCAGTGACCAGAGGACACAGATAAGGGGACAGGGACACCAGTTGCTGGGCACTGGACGATCTGGCGGGTTTAATGGCAGAGGTAGATGGGCGAGCACTCAATGTGGGGCTGGTTTTCCTAACCACTGTGTGTGTGGATGGGGGGGACACTCAGGCTGTGCCCGTCTTGTCCCATGTGTGACACAGGGATGTGGGGATGGGTTGCAGCAGGAGAGGGACAGGGAAAAGCACCTCATCTCGTGCAATAGAAGGAAACTCCCTTTTGCTTTGCTAATGCTTTCCCCGTTGAGTGTCAGCTGAGCACCAAGGCTCCTGACAGCAAGACCAGAGGAAAAGGAAGGGAAGACGGGAGTAAGCCCTGGCCTCTCACCCTGGAAAATTAGCACAAGGGGCCACTGGCCACCTCTTGCCAGCCCAACTTCCACCTTCCTGCTCTGAGGCAGTGCTGGAGGCTGCAGGCAGCATCTCACGCAGGAACTCTCAGTTCTCTGTGTGGCACTCGGTCCCCTCCCTGCATCACGCACCCTCTCCGACCCCCCAGCTCTTGGCACAGACGATGGCACAGCCTTAACTCGCAGGGAACAGTGGAGACCCCCACTGCACCCAGCCCAAGACTCAATTTTTTGTTCCTACATTAAGCTCCCCACAATCAAATAAATGAGCAATGCAGAGCTGGGCTCCCCATCATGGATCTGCTCCCAAGGGGAGCCAAAAACCAGGTGGCATGGAGCATCTTGCTCGAACCCATGCCCCCCGCTGGCCCAACCCTGCCACGTTGGCTCGCAGGCAAGCTGGGCTCCTCCGCCTGCTCCTCTTCCCAGCAGGAAAAAGAAACCACTGCCGAAATTCTTCCAGGCCATGGTCATGAAACCACAACGTGGTGACAGGCATTTTCCTGGCTGCCTTCACCCTGTCCTACAGCACCGAGGGACCAGCACGTGCCGAGACACTGCATTCTGGGGGCATCACCAGTGTATCCCCGGTGCGTTTTCAGGACCTCATCTGATATCAGAGAAAGGGGGGCATTGGAGGAATTTACAGAGGTTTTATGGCTCCTGGCCTTTTTACAGCAGAGATGGGCTCTGGCAGCGGGTTCCTCAAACAGCCCTGTGCCGACACTGCTTTGGCCAGGATAGACATTCCTGTCATTCCCAGGAAAGGGCTTTCCAAACCCTGTCATGGTGGGTTAACTTTAACAGACAGCCTTTCACGATGTGTGAGTGGTGGCTTCCTAAGCCCACCAGCTGCTCAGGGTGCCACTGGGGGCCCCCATGGCCTGTCCCCAACCATTGCCTGGTCTCTGCTGGTGTGGGACAGGGCTGCTGCCAGCCCAGCCAGCCCTTTCCTGCTGCCGGGCTCACGGCTGCTGAGTAGCCAGTTTCCACACTGGGAATGGGGTTTATGGGGAGAAATTCCAGTCTGCTGCCAGAGTGCAGAGCCATCATCATTTCCTTATGGGGGGCCCTTGACCAGCACTGGCCAGAGCAGTATGAGGCTGCCAGGGCATCCCTGACAGTGGTTTGAGGCTGATTTTCTGGCCGGAGGGGAAACAGCTGGCATAGGCTGAGCCTGTTGGTGCAGCTGAGTATGATTTCACTGTGAGGTGTACTGGAGTCTGTCATGACTAAGCCTGGCACCCCAGTCCAAGGAGGATGTGCTGGTAGGCTGCATGTTTCCCACGG